CTAAGGGAAGGCTCCGGGTCACCTGATCCAGCCCTAACTATAAGCTTTATCAAAAAAGGAACGTCTTAAGTCTAATCTTAAAGGTAGAGAGGGTGTCCGCCTCCTGAACTGAGACTGGGAGTTGGTTCCATAGGAGAGGAGCTTGATAGCTAAAGGCTCTGCCTCCCATTCTGCTTCTGTGGACTCTAGGAACCACAAGTAAACCTGCACTCTGAGAGCGAAGTGCTTTGTTAGGATGATAAGGCTCTACGAGGTCTTTAAGATACGATGGAGCCTTGTCATTAAGGGCTTTGTATGTTAGGAGAAGGATTTTAAATTCTATTCTTTAATTTACAGGGAGCCAGTGGAGAGAAGCTAATATGGGAGAGATATGATCTCTCTTGCTAGTTCCTGTCAGTACTCTGGCTGCAGCATTTTGGATTAACTGGAGGCTTTTTAGGGAATTATTGGGACGTCCTGATAGTAAAGAGTTACAGTAGTCCAGCCTGGAGGTAACAAATGCATGGACCAGTTTTTCAGCATCACTTTGAGACAGGATGCTCCTGATTTTTGCAATATTGTGCAGGTGAAATTTGTCTATTTAAAGACACGAGGACTTTACTGGACTGTAAACTGTCAATAAACAGCTGTCATCCCAACTTCATTATTTGTTGGTTTAGGTCAGGGACTTTTAAATAATGTCCTTGTTTATATTATAGTGCTGAAATAGTGCCCCAGTAGCAACAGTAGATGAATTGACAAAGATTTTGAACACTTCAGTTTCTCTGGGGGGAGGATTTGCCTTTGTCACATTTAGGTTTTGGAATGTTGGCTGGTTTCTGGCTAGTTGTGAAGGGCATTTTTCTTTATTTTTTCATATTTTATACATGAAATGTTTGTTTTTTTGGGATAGAAATTGACTACTTAATTAAGTTGTTCATGAATTTCCCCATATGACCCCTGCATGGTCCCCACACCTCACTTTCAAAACCTCTGTGGCCCTAAATTCAGCTCTGCATCCTCCTCTTGTTGTAAAAACCCCATATGACCTTCCTTTGTTTAGGTTGGTGTGTATCTGCGGGTACATACTGTACCTGTGGTGTATATGTGCATTTTCCTTCCCTGTGGAGTCTAACTCTGTTCATTTGTCACAAACAGAAAAGAAGTAATTGCTGCATTGTGTTTTAATTAGATCTGTGCACAGCCCCTTCAATCAGCAGCCATTTTATCAGGATGTGAACCACAACTGTTTGACAGGAGAAGTGGGGACACTCTGTCATGTTGTTAGCACCATTGTGCCAATGCGCTGCATGGTGGGCTGTCATTCGTTCAGACCCAGGCTGTGAATGAGGGGCAGAGGGAGGCAGATGGAGGGAAGGAGGGAAAGAAAGGAGATTAGAGTCCACGGATGAAGGCAGGTTTGGCCCCATTGTGCTCCGGCGTTGGGAAACGCTCGATCTGCAGCAGCAGGGCAGCTTCCCTTCAACCATTGTGACTTGATGAGGGGGGAGGCTCAGGGTTCTCACAGCCGAACCTGCCCGTGGATTCATCAACACTGGGTGTCTTCTGCCTCATTTCAGTGTCACGGTCACACCACGAGAGACGTGATTCATGTGATGTTTCTTTTCTGTTACTGTAATTTGCTGTGGCTGTACTGGTGTGAGATGCAAGTAGAGTATGGTGCAGAAGGTCCAGCTACAGTTCTATATCCTTGAGTTTGAAGGTCTATCAAATGCCAACAAAGCTAGCCAAGGCTTTATAATGCAATGAGAGAGGCCACGGTGTGTGTGTGCCGTTCATGTTGCGAGGTAATCCACAAATGTTTCACTGGCCAAATTGATAGATGATACTGTAGTAAGCCAACTAGCTTTACTGGAGGAACTGGAACTTTTCTCTTCTTTTCTCCCAGAGTTTCCCTAATGGAGAGTTGAACTTCTTTTATTTTTACCATAGCATTTGGAAAACTCTGGCCCTGGCATCTTCTCTGTGCTACTGCTTGGTACGGCACGCTGTCCATTAGGTTGGACATAGGGCTGCAACGACTTGTGCTTTACAGTTATTCCCAGTTATGATGGATATACTATGCAGAGAAAGCAAACAGCTTTTAAACCACAAAGTATTTTCACCTGAGTCAACTCAGATTCCAGGGTAATCCTGTTCTTCTTCCAGCTGAGCGCCTGTTTCAAATGAGTTCAAGTTGACCCAGGCTTTTCTTACAGTGTCAAAACCTGACTCAAGTAATTTGGCACAACACTCGTGAACCTCAGCAGAGAGGATGAATGCATGAAACTACACAAGCTTATAAGTTAAACTCAGAGAAGAAAACCACCTGGAGAGACACTGGTTTTGTTTCTGTAGCAGAGAAAGATGAATTTGGGTTTGAGCATCAGCAACTTTGGTCACTAGAGGTCAGTAACCAGCTGTGGTCTGAAAACACTACGCCCACCTCATTTTCACTGGGAGAGGCTGAACCTGATGAAGTCTTGATTGCTTCCCAGTGCTCTGAACTTGACCTCTGGTGCATCCTGGGAGTTTATTAGATTCTTTTTTCTCTCATTTTCATCTACATCTGAAATCCCACTCTGTCTGGAATGGAAGAAACATCTGTCTGGACCTTTCATGGGTCCATTATTAAAGAAAATATATCAGGGTGTGTTTTCTTTATTAGACACACTGTAAAAAAAATTTCAGTTTATTATACTTATTTTTACTATATTTCTAACATACATGGAAATATTAAAATTAAAATTAAAAAAATGTTAATTACATGCTGAAATTAAAATAACTGGACAATCCTGTTGCTGTGAATTAAGCCCCCAGTTTTAAAAGATTTCACTTTCATCACATAAAAAGAAAAAATACAGTTAGTTTCACAAAGGTTTACAAATATTTACCATTTACTGTTTTCACACTGATTTCCCAGCATGCATTGTGTGAGCGTTAAAACTCTTCAGTTGTTTTTTTTCCAGTTTAAAGAACCCATTCAAGGTGGAATCCTACTGTCTGTAATCAATGTAAAATTAAGTCTAGGTTGATGATTTTTATAATAATAATAATTTATGCAAACTGTGATGAAGATTAGTATTGAGGTTGGTTTCAACCCCGTACATATAATATTTAACAAAGCCACATTAAGCAGCTTTGTGCACTGTCTTTGTGTCTCTTTGGTATAAAATGGCTTCAACAGCTGCAACTTTACGTTCTTCATGTCAATTTAAGAACTGACTCCTGTGACATTACAATGGATGCTCACTAACATTGCTTTATATCTTCTAAAATTAGCAGTATATTGCTGTAAATATACTTAAAATGATCTGGTTTTATCCTTTTTTATAGGAAAATCCTGAGCTTTAAAGGTTAGTACCTTTTTAACATTAAAAAAGCTTTTAATACACAAGGTTCCATTTTAAAATTAAGATATAAAACTAGAAGAAGATGGTTAATTTCTGTAATTTTACTAATATTTTTTGGTCCCCAAGATGCCAGAATATAGCAGTTTTTACATAATTTTTTTATCATGCAAATGTAAAGAGAGCACATGTTCTGCAATGGTGGAGAAGTAACTAAGTGCATTTACTGAAGTACAACTTTGAGTTATCTGTATTTTACCTTAGTATTTTCATTTTTTACTGCTGCTCTCACTGGACCCTTGAGTACAGGCTGAAAAGAAATTTGGTAAAGTAGCTTGAACAGTGGTGGAAGAAGTACTCAGATCCCATACTTAAGTAAAATAAACAGTAAAATAGGGTTAAAAAAAAAAATCTAATACAAATAAAAGTCCTGCACTCACAATGGTACTTTAGTACATAGTACATACACCGCAAAAATTGGAGAGTTAAAATTTGGGTGTTAAAAGTTTTCAGAGTTAATCTTAACTCCTAAATTGTAATTTTTACACTCTGGGAGTAAAGTGTTGTTCAGTGTTGGGGTTATTTGACAGTGTTGATTACAGTGGAGTTAGTTCAACTCCTAAGAGATTTAGTGATGATCCACCCACTATCCTCAGTCCTTCGGGTGAAAAGTCATCGCCATTGTCGTCTCGCATGTGGATTTTGGAATGTTAAGTAAAAAATATATATCTTACTTACAGAAACATTTTAGTTGATCCTGTGACTTCAACAATAATATGTAGCTTGTATTTAACATACACGGATAACATTTTTCAAAGCATATCGATGCTAAGTTTAGTTTTAATTTGCCCAAGTGATTAGCATTTTAGCTAGCAGCGTGGTAGCTAGCTAGTGACGCAGTTTATAACTAACGTTAAGTAAAGGAAGGAGCTGTAACGCATTGTTGCTGTTGACGTGATAAACTAAGTTATTACATGTACTGTGTGTATGCTTTGTGCGCAAATAGTACGTTTGAGAAATGTAGTTGCTAACATTAGTTACTCATTTCTGTGTCTTAGTCACTATAGTGTATACTGTATCTGGGCAAAGTGAGGGAAGCTTGATTATTAGCGCGTATTTTATTTCCGAGGGTGAGGGGATTTTGGATTGACCCTCGGTACAACATGAGTGCCAGATGACCTGAGAAGTCCGAGTGGAGAGAGGCCATTGAGTAGAAGAGACTAGGCCAATGCATTATTCAGTGTTACAGGTTACAGGTGTACGTCTCTGCAGGTCTGGTTCGATACGCTTCTACAGCCATTTTTATGTGGTAAAGGTTTTTGTGACTGTTGATGTGTTTGCAGAAACTTAGGTTTGACACTGAAGAAGAAGATAAGGGATCATTTTGTCTTTAATCAACACTAAATATTTCTGCTCTATATTTTCAAGCATTTTAAAATCATGCGTTTTGATTTTGTCCAAACCTTGTTGGAGGAGGAACGCTGGTGTGCAGTTATGATGTGGAGGGGAAGGTGCCAGCCTTCACCCCAGGCCACTGTCCCATGTCGCGGGAGTATCACATGGCTGTTGGATCACTGAGCCGGAGGGACGGCGCACGTGAGTGTGTGTGCTGCTTTCTGGATATCATTCACATAAAATATTTGGTAGAAACTTCTGTAAAAATCAACATTTTCTTTTAATTTGAGGCTGTTAGCTCACACTTTCATACAGGCCAGCAAAACAAATAAACAGCCATTACAAGCAACTAATAGCAGAAAGGTCAGGGGTGAACAGATGTAACGAAATATCCCTGTGACCCTGCAGTGGTCACAGGGATATTGCACAAATGTGAGGAAAGGAAAGAAGAGAAGCTACAGCGATGGGTGGGGGTGAAGAGTTTTTTCTCTTTTACTTCGTGACAAGAACAAATAGTAGCCAGGAGAATAGAAACGTGATTCATGTGAGGAAAGTTAGAAACTGGACGAGCTTCTCAAGAAGCATTAGAATCAACTTCACCCCTCTTTTGTGACTGGAAATATATGTTGGATCTGATCTGCACTTTGTTACTACCCACACTGGATAAGTTAAATATTAATGCTACACATTGCTAACAGTTAGCCCTGAGAGGTGGGGGCCGGGATTCTGTCACCCTGCCCATCATACGAACACTGCATACTTTAGTAATTTGACATATTTGTTCAAAATGCTCTAAAGGTTAAAGCAGTCAGAAAAAAAACCTCCAGCTCTTTTGTCTATAAATGTTGAAATTTAATCTGCAACCTGGTCACAATCTGGACACTCATGGTGTCTGTGTCATTTCTTCTATCTGTGTAAATGAGATTCAAATTAATTTGTTATTTATTATTGTTTATTTATTACTAAATGTTTGGCTGCACTGTTGTAAGTAAAAGTTACAACATTAAAACCAAAAGAAAATGTTTTGTCTGTATATAAAATCTCTTCATAAATTGAATAATTTAAAGTAGAGTGAAGCAGGTGGTTGCTGGTGCTGCTGCTGTTTGTTCTTGTTCTTCAGACTTTGTTTTACATGTCAGTCCTTTCTTATTCACTTCGGAGTAAGAAGGTTGTAATTTGCTGCTAATTACAGGGAAAATGTTCAATTCCTTGGAAGAGAAGCACAGTCCAAATAATTTTGTATGTGTTATTCATTCTTTACTAGAACTTGTTGACAGATCTCACAGTATTTATCTGACAGTTAACACATTTATTTAGATTGAGGCAGAAACAAGAATCTTTTTAAAAACTGGCACTTTATGTTAAAAAAACCTTGTTATTAAATGTAGCCTGGGGTTTTACGGACATACACTGACATGCGTGTCTGGTGAGATGTTGGGCAAACCAGTATCACTAAATAACAAAGCCAGTTTGTGTTTTATTGGCTAACTTGACTCACCAGAGCCGCAGAGTAAACTTATTCACATCTTTCACATACAGCAACAAGCAGTGAGGAGGCAAGGCGGCTTTATTTGTACACAGAGACAATTTAAAGAGAAACCGTGACAAAACAAAACAAGCATAAAATCAGTTAAGTCTATATAAAGAGTGTTAAAATGAAATAAAATGCATGAAATGAAAATAAAAACAGACAATAAAAGATCAGAAACAAGACTATAAAGCAGTTACAGGGAATTTTGACAAAACAACTGACATGATATTAAATTAGATGCTTTACCCAGTTCCGTCAAGTTTCATTCATGTACTGACGCTGTTGTCTGGGAGTAGCTGTTATGGTCTTGCAAATTCAGTCCGTGCGGCTTTAAACAGGCACTGCACAAGGCAGCTACATCTGTCAGCGCGCCCTCGAGCAGGACGCTGAACCTGTAGCTGCTGGCTGGCCTGCAGCGCTCTGACCAGCGCCATCTTTCACTGTCAGCATTTGTTGAGCTGACAGCTGATTGGCCACCACGAGATCAGTGATGTTTCCAGTCTTTGTCTTCACTGTAACACAGCTGGAGGAGGAACGTGAGAAGGGAAGGAGGGTGTGTGTTTATATGTGGCTTCAGTATTTACAGTAGGTGGGAGGGTGGTTCTTGTATACTGAAGGAACCTCATCTTCAGACGTGTGTTCATGCGATTCTTGTTGTATTTTGAAAGTTTTAAGAAGCTGGACTGAAAAACTGAGGAAACTACTGCCAAGCAAGGGTGTTTTGTTGGCTGACTGTTTAGTTTGAGATGAGAACTGTGTTATTCCTGCAGCCTAAAAGCAGCTGAAGTTGCTGCTGGTAGATTTCAGCCTGTTTCTACAAATTTCTAGAATTCTGTACATTTCTTACAACAAGAAGAGTAAAAGGCCAGTGCGTTAGAAGTGAAACAGTACATTAAGTACTCATTTACGTGATATCTCTACATTATTTCAGGGTATTTTGTGTTGGCGTTTGCTGGTTTGCCTCCAAAGGTAAGATGTGAGGATTTCACCACAGAGGTCCATCACTGGACTTGGGTTTCCTTTACAAACAGGTGAGCCAGTTACTTCAGAGGGTACAGAATGTAGCTTCAGTCCTTCAGCTGTCACTGATACAAGCAATTTGTAGTGAAGGTCAAAGGTCACTCTGACAACACGTGACATACTTTGTGAGGAGCGAGAGAAGTGCGATGAGCGGAGAAAAGATTTATTGCATCTCAGAGAACACTAATATGGAAATAATTAGGACTGAGTGGCAGCAGTCCACAAATACGTTCGGTCTGAAGTCCTTCCTCAGCAGCCGTCTGTACTCGATTACAAACAACAGTTTCTGGTCAGTAATAACATCCCTATTCTGAATCATGGTAAATTTAGTTTAAATTTCCAACCAAAATTAGAGAAGAGGAAGTACGGAGGGCGTCTGATTTCTTATGAAATACTCCAGAGTTTCAAAAGACCCACAGGGACTCACAGAATAAGTCAATGTGTCCAGTAAAGAAGCTTCACTGCTGAATCTTGTATTCTCATCTGTAAATAAAGACATTTCTCATATACACAACAGTGAAGCCTGGCTCATGATCATAGACTTTTGTTGTATTTGCGCAGTCTGCTTTATCTGGGCCACTTGACCCTGCAGCTGTCCTGCTAGCAGCTCGCTGTCTGTCTCGTTTCTGTGAGAGCTTCCTGTGCATTCCAGTCTGTGAGAGGATTCTCAGCCTGAAATGTGTCATCCAGTAAAGTGGAGAGCACATGTTTGTGTAAGGAGAGAGAGCCGGCATCGCCGTCATCCAGCCTCATCATCCATGGACGTCTGCAGAAGTTGGCTGTGCACAGTCACAGGCGGGGGAGATGTCTGTTTCAGGCCCAGATGTGTCCCACCCCAGCCTGTAAATCAGCACAGGCAGATCAAGGCACTTCCTCTGACATCCATCCCACCTCTCATGAAACCCTCACTTAGCCAAAGGCTCGATCAGCCGTATGTGCCGGCAGCTGAGCTCCAGCGATGCAATGTTTGTGTGCTGACGCATGTGCATCTGCAGGGGCAGGCTGGAATTCCTCTCCATCTGGGAACGAGGAAATGAGGTAGTGAGACCGCGAGCTGGAAAATAACTGTAATAATTATCAAGGAGATACACATTCCTGACTTGATTTTGTTGATGTACTGGACGGCTGGGGGAGGGCAGGCGAGAGCTTGACTATTGTTGACAATTCAGCATCAGATTACCATCAAAATTTATAGCTGACACAATGTCTACAATTGTGTCTGAGAGTCATATTTTCAAAAGAACTTTGTATCTTAAAACAAGAAAGAATTGTTGCACCAGAATGAAATAAAGAAGCTGAATTGTATCAGAAACAATGAAAGGAGTGAGTTGAATACAGACAAAAGTCACTATTATGACAAAAGAAAATGTTCATAGCAAATTATTTAGTGAGACCTGCTGCGTAATCAACAATTTTTAAATGCTGTTTAAAAGTCAGGGCGAAACTAAAATGTATTTAAATAATCCAGCATCTGTTTTCTTGGAATGATTGTACAGTATGTTTCTTTTTCATTTAACATGGTACAGTCAACCGAGTCAACAGAGTTGGTTTTTGCACTTTGTTTGCAGACATTTAGCGTTTGCTTTCTGACTTCTTTAATCGTTTCTGCACCAACTACACTTAGCTAGGAGTGATTAGACAGTGGTGGGTTTAGTAGATCTGCTCAGTCCTCTCTGATGCTCCTGCCTCTTCGCTGTGCTCCTCATCATCACATGCAGCAGCTGTTTTTAGGCCCATTAGCCTCCTTTGCACATGTAGCCAGCAATTAAGTTTACATTTTCTGTCACTCCTGTTCTGCATTACTGTCTCCTGGCTTTCTATCTCTCCAAGTTTCATACGAGGGGGGGGACAGACCAACCCAAATATTCCATTCACCTTTTGGGTCGTGACCCCCAAGTTTGGGAAAGGCAGTGCAAGAACCAAGAAAAATGAGAGTTGCATTGCAAAGTTGCATCACCAGACTTATGTGGCTGGATTTCAGTTCAATTAATTGACATGTAATTGGGCATCCAGCTCCCCAGAGGATGGACCCCTGAGACTTGAATAACCTTATTCCATCCCTCTAGTACCAGCCTGAGGGAAAATGTATTCCCTTCAGCTCCATCACAATTAAAGCTGCAGGAATCCAGCAGTGAAATCAGCAGTGTGTTGTTTGTTCTGGGCAGTGCTTTCATACTCAGTGTAATGAACACTTCAGCCTCTGAGGGACACTAGCAGAGCTCCAGGCAGTTGTGTTGATGTAGGTGTTTATGAATGGGTCTTTGGGGCAGTGGATGTGTTTGCAAGGCCTAGGCGTGTGTGTGTGTGTGTGTGTGTGTGTGTGTGGAGGAAAAGGTCAGTAGGTTTCCTTTGTTTTTCCCCTCCCCTTGTGTTTTTCTTCTGTTCCCATGCCGCCACGGTGATGACTCACAATCGCACGGAGTCACTTTGAACTTCAGTGCCAGGCAACCAGCCTCTCGTCCCCTCTCTCAGATAGATGCATTTGATGACAACCGGTGCTCCGCTGCGTCTGCAACACGCCGCTCTGACATGTCATCGACGTCTGGCCGGCAGCCTGCCCTGTCGCATCATTCGACCAGAGGGAGAGGGGAGCCAAGTAGATTTCTGATTGGTGGCTTTGTGCGCTGGGTGTAAAGGTCACAGCAGCGTT